CGCTTTTAGCCCCAAGGTATGTAGCGTTAAGAATATGTTGGTATGACTGTGGTGCTTATGCTCAGCGGTATTGTGCCCCAAGAGTGTATGTGTGTGAAGACGAACATGGCAGAGATAGTTTTACTATATAAACACCAATGAAATACCAGATGATCTTTCGCGCGAAAACATGATAACTTCACATGTGAAAATATCACCGTTGCTATGGCTACGTAGTAATTTGCGCCTTTCATACCAAAAAACTATTAAAGTGAAATGGCTTGGTATTTCATTGGTGTTTACATAATAAATAGAACATTACAAGGCCACTTTAAGATACGAAATTTCTCTTGTGTTGAAAAAAATATTTCACGAGTGAGCTCAACACTTGAAGAGAAATTTCGTATCTCCGCGCAGCCATGTTATCCTCTATACATTTACTGTTCCGTCTACATTTGTGTAGTCATGGCCTTACCGGATGGTTAACAAATACTTTAAAGGTCAGTTAATGAATAAATTTTCTTCGAAACAGTTATTTAGACAAAAACCTAATTATGTTGGTATTTGCTGGATTTAGTCTCAGGCGCAGCAAAGAGATCGAAGTCTTCAAAAAAAGGCAAAAGGCCGTTGTCTTTAAGCGATACTCCGAAACATCCGAGACTGTTGCGAAATGAAGGTAAAGTTTTACTTTTCCTTTATTTAGGTAAGGGTTTGTATTGTATTGCGTGTATATGACAAAGTATATGTAAACTTTCCCAATGTAGTATAATGGGGCCTTTGTAGCTGGTCTTGTGTTCCCTAAGCGCGTCTTCATAACCTGCATAACTGACGAAACAAGACGGTGGTGGTGCTTTTCGTTGGCGTAGCAGCTCGTGCGCGCTGGATTTCTCCCAGCGAGAGTAGTTGCGAATCTATTTTGATCCTTCTCTTTCGCTTTCTATATGTCCCTTTGCCTTTCATTTACATAGCCAGTTTTGTTGCCCACTTAACAACTGCGTCTTTTAGTGGAGGTGGGTGNACCTAATTATGTTGGTATTTGCTGGATTTAGTCTCAGGCGCAGCAAAGAGATCGAAGTCTTCAAAAAAAGGCAAAAGGCCGTTGTCTTTAAGCGATACTCCGAAACATCCGAGACTGTTGCGAAATGAAGGTAAAGTTTTACTTTTCCTTTATTTAGGTAAGGGTTTGTATTGTATTGCGTGTATATGACAAAGTATATGTAAACTTTCCCAATGTAGTATAATGGGGCCTTTGTAGCTGGTCTTGTGTTCCCTAAGCGCGTCTTCATAACCTGCATAACTGACGAAACAAGACGGTGGTGGTGCTTTTCGTTGGCGTAGCAGCTCGTGCGCGCTGGATTTCTCCCAGCGAGAGTAGTTGCGAATCTATTTTGATCCTTCTCTTTCGCTTTCTATATGTCCCTTTGCCTTTCATTTACATAGCCAGTTTTGTTGCCCACTTAACAACTGCGTCTTTTAGTGGAGGTGGGTGTCCGGGCTGCCAGGGGCCACCACTTTGTAGACAGAGTTACGCCCCCATGGCTCGTAAACCCGCGCCTTTCAGCCACGTCTGGGCCACTCTCCCAATTTCGAACGTGCTTTATAACACTCTCAAGCTACAATCAGGCGAGTTTAGAATTTTGAGCACATTTCGGCCCAAAATATAGTCAAATCGCACTGCAATTCCTTGAGTGAAAACCTCACAAGAACAAATTTTTCTGTCTCTTTATGAATATGGATGAGGTCCCTAACAATTCAACTCAACGAGAAAAGTTCACCTAAATTTGACAAATTGTGAGAGTAAGGAAAAAATTGCGATAACTTTGAAAGAGCGCGAAGTTAATTTTACTTTTTCGAGACGTCTAACTGCCGTCAACTTTTGCATGTGGTTATCTAAACTCCCTACTGTGGTAACAGTCTAAAAGTAAAACTGTATAACAGTGTATAAACGGAAACAGAAAAATCTTTCATCGTAATTTTTGCCATACATGTAAACCTGATTTTCTTTAGGCCTCAAAATTTTCCATAGATGAACAGAAAATTTTCATACAGTGGAACCCCGTTAATACGACCACTTTCGGGCCATGGAAATTTGGTCGTATTAACGGGGTAGGGTCAAATTATGGTGCAAAATGCTTTTAAACTACATTCTACTACATGTGTACCTTTAATCTGTTATAAATCAACCTTTTTGCAGTTAATTAACAACCTTACAACCGCAATTCAATGCAACTGAACAATGTAACAGTAAACGAAACGGAGTAATGAGAAAAAACACTGACTTCTTTCAGTTCCTTGTTATGAAAGGAAAGGGCTTGTGATTTGTCTCGAAGACCGTTCATTTGTATATTATAGCTTACAACACTTTCACAATTATTACAAAGTTCAAAGTTCTGGGACAAAAGATAAGGAAATGGACTTGAAGAGAAAAGCCACAGTGGAAGGCAGCAGAAACAAGAAGGCAAAATAACTTTGAGAGCCTCGAAATGCTGCAAAGTGAAGTCTTTCAGATCTTTTATATTATTTATTCAAGCTTATTCATGCATCCTTTTTACTGCACACAGCAATTTACCGGAAGTCATGCTAACCACTAACACCTTTGCGTAAAAACATTCAATAAAATATTAGTAATGGGTTATTGTTTGTCAGATTGTGTCTGTTTTCATTCAGCAGCCCCACCAAGCATTTTGACTGGTCGTATTAACGGGGTAATTTTATAAAGAAAATAACGACTCAGGACTCCCAAAGGTGGTCGCTGGTCGTAATAACGGGGTGGTCGGATTAACGGGATTTTCAGATAAGAAAATGAGTGGGCTTTTGTTCGGGGCATAAAAAAGTGGTCGCAATAACGGGGTGGTCGTATTAGCGGGGTGGTCGTAAGGCGGGGTTCCACTGTATTTGGTTGTTTGTTGTTGCATCAAAAGTTCATCGGGAAACAGTGGCTCCGCTTATTTCTACGAGGTCAAGCTAAGTCCATTTTAATGCCGTTTATAGTTAACGATGTTTAGCGATGTTTAGATAGTAACAGTTACTAAATAAATATTTTAATACCTATATAGCGCGAAATACATGTGAGTATGATCTGATGCACTTTACATTAAAGCTAAACTGAATAAAATATACAAAATGAACCGCATGCATTTTAACATTGTTTATAGTAAACAATGTTTAGATAGAAGGGTTTAGCCAAATTAAAAATAGCTTAGAACTCGGTTTCAGTGACGGTTAAATGCTGGCTAATCTCCCTTCATCCCTTATGCTTTGAAGCAAAGAATAATTGTGTTACTACTCTTTTTGTAGGTCCCAATACACATGAGCAGCAGTTATCTAAGAAAGCCTCTGTGATCTGTCAAGTTGAAAAACCCTCTTCTTCTGAAAAACGTCTTCAAAAAGGTATTCTTGGATCGTAGGTGAACAATGTTATCAATGTTAGCCGTAAACAGGATTTCTTATTAGTGTACAGTCGACTCTCTCTTAACGGACACCTCTATAAGAGAGAGTCGTTATTTATCAAATAACCAAAATGCAAGATTGGTTATTTATTAAATAACCAAAAATGCGAAATTGGTTATTTATTAAATAACCAAAATGCGAAATTGGTTATTTATTAAATAACCAAAATGCAGGCAGAATGGAAAATTGGTTATTTATAAACAAACTGGACAATTGGTTATTTAGTAAATAAACAAACATGGACAATTAAAAATCCAAAACTGCGCAAAAATGGTTATTTATGGTTATTTATCTAATTTGGTCTTTGCAAGTGGTCACGTGGCCCACTTTCCCGCTCATTTCCCGTGACGACTTGCAGACTTCTATTTCCAACATGGCTTCTTCCACTTCCTTCACTTTCCTCTTTTCTCTTTCATTTACCTTCTTCCACCGTCAGTTTTCCTTCATTTACTTTCATTTTCCTCCGTACACCTTCATTCGCTTTCATTAATCTTCATTTACCTTCAGTTATTTTAATTCACCTTCATTCTAATTCATTTACCTTCATTCACACTCATCCTTCGTCATGAATATTCATCTACCTACATAGGCCTTCATTTACCTTTGCCTTCTTTCACCTTCATCTACCATCATCTTCCTCCATTAGCCTTCATTCACCTTCATCTACCCCTATTAGCCTTTATCGACGGTCACCTACATTCATTAGCCTTCTTTTACCTTCATACGCCTACATCTACCACCATTAGTCTTCATTTAACGTCATCTACTTCAGTTGGTTTTCATGGCAGTCCAGAGATTATCCAACGAATTGTCGTGCCGTCACATTATTCATTTCTGACTAACTTGTTCCCCTGTCCTTTAATCTTCAGACATTACACATATTCAAAAATAATTTTGCATTTCCGTGAAACGTATCGTATTTTACATTGTTTTGTCATACAACAGGGTCTTAACGAGGTATACATTTTCCCGACTGATCTCACATTTTGGCCATGAAAGTTTGATACCTGATCCAAAATGGTTGCAAATCCTGATCCCTGATCCCGTGAAAATCTTTTGATCCCTGAATTCAATTCTGTACTTGCTAAAAACTGAATGAAATACCAAATAAAGTGTCTCTCTTTTCGATTTCTGTTACAATTTTCTTGGTCACATCATTTGCTGACTGGAGAATTAAGGTTGGCTCCCGTCTGTTCTTTCGAGTTATCATAATTTCTATCATAATCTGTTCCACCTAAGAGCTCCCATAATGATGTATCTTCTAATAAACCTTTCGCACGCAAGTGGGGAGGAAAGCTGTAGCGCCGAAGGCGACCCAACCTTGTAGATCTGAGGGCATGCTCCCCCAGAAAATTTTTAAATTTAGGGCTTCGGAAATCCTATTCCAGCGTTTTCCTCGGGACATTTTCAGTAAATTAATACGCAGGAAAATGCTACTTTCCTGCTCCTGAGATCTCTTTCGGTAAAGATTGGCTTGACCAATGATCAAAAGTACCTAAAGAATTCCACAATATCAGGATGATTAGAGAATCCTGTCGCAATAGCCTTTGCGTTAGGGGCAGCCACCTTGGATGAGCGTCAAAACTACTCAGGGACTATTTTTCTCGCTTCCCTCCAACCCCTCCCGCCCCCTAAGTAGTTTTGACACTCATCCAAGATGGCTGCCCGTAACGCAAAGTGCTCCTTCTCGACGATCTTACGGAAAAATAGGGACTGTGAAGTGTGATCAGTCTGTAGTGACATGTATCAGATTTGGTTCGGTCAGCTAACTTCAAAGCAGCCCGGAGCCATTTCTGCATTTAACCGCGCTATGTTTTTGGAAGAAGCCGTGTTGGAAATAGAAGTCTGCAGGTCGTTATGGGAACTGAGAGGGAAAATGGGCCACGTGGCTACTTGCTAAGACCAAATTAGGTAAATAACCATTTCTGTATTAAATAACCATTTTTGCACATTTTTGGATTTTTAATCGTCCAAAGCAAGTTTGTTTATTTACTAAATAACCAATTGTCCAGTTTGTTTATAAATAACCAATTTTCCATTCTGCCCGCATTTTGGTTATTTAATAAATAACCAATTTCGCATTTTGGTTATTTAATAAATAACCAATTTCGCATTTTGGTTATTTAACAAATAAAAAATTTCGCATTTTGATTATTTAATAAATAACCAATCTCGCATTTTGGTCATTTGATAAATAACCAATTTCGCATTTTGGTTATTTATTAAATAACCAATCTCGCATTTGGTTATTTAGAAAAAACCACTTTTTAATTTTTGGTTATTTGTTAAATAACCAAATTTCAGTTTTGGTTATTTGTAAATAACCAATTTTATATTTTGGTTATTTAGAAATAATAAAACTGTAATGTGGTTTTTTGTAAATAACCACTCTTGTTTTGGTTATATACAAATAACCACTCTAATTAATAAAATACATTTGGTGCCCCATATTTTTCAAGCTTTGTTAATAGAATGGCCATATCGAGCCTAATATTTAGGTGGACAGTTAGTACAATTGCAAAAAAGGATTGAATATTAGTGTATATATCGTAAAGGTAGAAAATAATATTGGGAAAAGTACAAAAACAGTATTTGATTGGATTTTAGGCGCGGCAAAGAAACGCCAGTCTTCCAAGAAACGCAAAAGGCCATTATCTTCAAGTAACATTCCAGCTCCAAAATACCCAAGGCCATTAGAAGATAAAGGTAAGGTTTGTTTTTGCTCATGTTCGAATAGGGGTTTGTCGTTTCTTTTTATGTATATTGTATATGTACAATCTACTTAGTGGGGAAGATGTTTTTCCGCAGTCAGTGATACAGGCGGCTCGTGAAAAAATTCAAGTACTCCCCGCGTAGGAGTCGGACCTATGACCTTCTGGTTACTGGTAGAGATGCTCTACCACTGAACCACAGGAAACTCGTTGGAACTGAGGCCACTAAACTAGGTTCACGTGACAAACATCCTGAAAACTGCTCCGAGGACTATAGGACTAGTATGACACACTACATCGGAAGTAACACAAAGTGGATAATGTTGTGTTCATTGATTGAGGCTCTATAATGCCCGTACGGCTCTGCTTCCGGTCTGAAGTTGGACTCTCACAAGGCTTGAGTCGCTCTCATTCACGCTCGGAGCAAATTGTACGCTTCTCACGTCTGACTCGCTCTCTCAATTTCGAAACATTCTTCATAACACCCTCAAGCTACAATCAGGCCAGTTGAAAATTTGAGCACATTTTGGCCCAAAACGTAGTCGAGTCGCTGGCCCAAAACATAGTCCAGTCGTGATACTGTTCCTGGAGTGAAAGATTATGCATGGTCAACGGTTTAGTTCCTCACTCAGTGTTTTTTTTTTTGTTTGTTTGTTTTTGTGCGTCACTACCAGAGGCGCAGCACAATAAAGTTTCCTCTTGGTTTATTTGTTTGTTCTCTGTTAAGGAATTTTCCATCTGAAGTTTGTTAACTCTGACAAGATAAAGGAAGCCTTTGACATTTGCCTAAAGACTTTGATGGATCACCAATGATGTGTTACAAAAGCAAAATCTTTAAGGCGACGTAATTTTACAAAGAATGCGTTTTACGTGTAAATGTGGGAGGAGAGTAAATGTGGCAGTATACTTTAGAACTTTTTTATTTGATCCCAAAATGATAAAGAAGTTAGTTTCTCTTTGGTGCTGTATCAGTGGAAATATAAAACACAGAAATTTGGTATTAACTATTAAGTTAAAAAATTTAGTTTGAGCTCCAGCCGTGCGATACAGTGTAGGGTTAGGGTTATTCAACGTTACCTTGTGAAGCCTATTCGTGCACAGCCAGAAAGAGCAAATAGTGAGTTCACTAACGGTGAACTTACGCAAAAGAAAGCCGAAGTAAAGAAGACAGCAAAACTTGTGTGACAAGCGTGTCAATAATAAATTTGGAAATTTTGCGCCAAACTTAACTTTTCTTTTAAACACATCTCAGTTTAAAAGACCAGAATACTTTATTGGTAAATGAAAATCACGACAAAACTCGTAACTGATAACCCATTCACGTTTGTCACACACCAACGTTTTCTGGCATTTTCGTCTTTCTGTCGTCCTTTTGCTAAGCTCCCAGACTCGTACCCAGTCGCTATTTAAGTGTTTTTTTGGATGAGAGAAGATTGAGGATTAGGTTGAGGCGCGCGCGGGGTCTCATGGGAAGACGTAGTAATGTAGTGACGGTAGAAAGAATTTTCGGTCATTCTACTCATCAAAGGAACGAAAGAACAGCATTTTACAAATTAATGAGAAATACTCCCGATCTCCTTTTTCCAGCAGATTGGTACATCTCAGTTGTTGTGAAGCTTCTCAAAGGTGAATACAAAAGGCGTTCTCAGTTAAGACCACTTCTTTGGGACAACACCATCGAGTTACCCCTGGATGACGTCTACACGAGACTTAAAATCGTTTCAAGGCGGAAAGCAGACTTCCGAGTGGATGATAACGAGGTGAATGTATTCGACATCTTCACAGCTCTTGATAAAGGTGAGGATGTTATGACGCTTGTTGAAGGGAGTCCAGGAATCGGTAAAACTACGTTTTGCCTTAAACTTGCTTATGACTGGGCACATGGAAAAATTCCAGCTGAGTGTTCTTTTCCCAAATTCGAGCTGATGTTGCTTTTGAAATGTCGAGACATACATAAGGATATAATGGAAAGTATCAGTGAACAACTGTTGCCAGAAGATGTGGAGGAGAAGACTAAAGAGAGGCTGTTTAACTTCGTCAAGGACATTCATAATCAGGAGAGAACTTTAATCATTTTGGACGGTTTGGATGAGCTTCCCAAAGATTCCGAACGTTATGTAGATAAACTGCTTCAAAGAAGAATTTTATCATTTTGTTATGTTTTGGCTACCTCCCGGCAAGAAAGGGGAATTGATGTACGGAAAAAGTACGGTTTTGACATCCTTTTGGAGATTAAAGGATTCACAGAAAGTGATGCATTTGATTATATCAGAAAACATTTTAAAAATGTTGGTCCCTTGCATTCATCAAAGGGAGAAAGTCTCATTAAGGAAATTGAAGAAAACTCTCTGTTACATGCCTTGCGAAATAATCCTCTAAATTTGCTTCTTCTTTGTGTTATTTATGAGGACTATGAGGGGAATTTACCGTCTTCCCGCTCTGAGCTTTACCAAGTTATTGTGCTGTGCCTTTTAAGGAGACATTGCGCTAAACACAATCTAGAGGTTCCTGAAGAAAACAGAGCCTTAGAGAAGCAATATGAAGAGACCATTCTTGCACTTGGAGAGTTAGCTTGGATGTGTTTGCTGAGTGATCGCTATTGTTTTCGTGAAAGTGAATTAGCTGCGCTTGAAAGAAGATACAAAGGATTGGTATGTCGTCACGTAGGCCTTCTTTACAAGGAAGAAAGTCTGAGAAGGTTAAAGCCTCAACATGAGTACTACTTTCTTCACAAGACCTTTCAAGAGTACCTGGCTGCCGCCTTTATTGCTCACAAGTTGCGAGGAAACCAGTTAAGTTTGTTTGAGCGTCTAAGTTTTCATGAACTAGCAAAAAAGTATCGGGAAGTGTTTCTTTTTGTTTCTGGTGTACTTGGGAGAGATGCAAGCATTCTATTCACTCAGATTGGCGAAGAGCTGAAGAACTGGGGGAAATGGGACTGGGACTGGTGCAGACAGTTTGGAGTAGTGACGATGGATGATCGAAAGAGGGAAGAGAATTGGGATGACTGGGACAGCGACGACGAAGAGGACCGAGGCTGGGAAGCAGCAACTTTCCTTACGGAAAGCTTCTGCGAAAGTGGACACGCTGAAAAAGTGGCAGAGACTCTTTGTTCCTATATACCCTTCCCTACCCATGTTGAGATAAATCTTGACCCACCGCCACGCAATGACGAGAGTGGCAATATATATCACGTTTTGGATGCCTGCAAAACCTTTTCAAACTTGCAGAAGCCAGTTCGGCTTACTGTTCATAAATGTTCGCAAGGTTCAAGCTATCAGACTGTTGCAGAGCACATACAATCCTGCCCGCAGCTTGAGAGTCTTGCCATTCACACCCCTTCTGTTACGTTAGACCTAGCCAACGCCCTACATAAAGGCTTATCTGGAAACACGACTTTATCAAAGTTTACTCTGCAAGTGTGTGGCAGTATTTCTTGTGACGTAGCTGCCGTCATCGGTGAATGGCTAGCTGCGCGTAAATTCTTGAAGAACGTAACGTTTCTACTTCGCAGGGTGAAAGGTGAGGCGTGGGCCAGTTCTCTTGAAACTGGATTGTCTGCTGACACTCTTTTGTCGTCTGTGGAACTCTCTGTTCGTGGGTCAATGAGTGATACTTCGATCCTTGCTTTAGGAAAGCTTTCATTAAATAGAGCTTTGACCGAACTTTCTCTTAACATTTCAGGAGATATGCAAACTTTTATCGTTGATGTTATCGGCAAAGGAATTGCACTACAAACCGTATTAAAGTCGTTAAGTCTTGACATTGATGGCAACCTTAGTCTTTCTGGTGCTAATAGCCTGAAAAGAGGCCTTCTAGAAAATTGTTCCCTGAATAATTTGAGAGTGTTTGTCTTTGGAAAGGTTCCGAGCAACTGGCAGTCTTTTCTGGAAACTATTCGTCTGGCAAAGAAGGTATCGGTTACTTTTGATTTCTACCCAGATTCTTGTAGCAGAACAACATCTAATCAACTGGGAAATTTTTATCCTGGTCCAGATGTGGTTGAGAAAGGTTTACATACCAAACAGCATTTAACTGTGGTTCTTTGGGGTGAGCTGAGTTGTGATGGGGCGGAAGCTTTTTCTGAGCGCCTGGTACGTGCTCCCCTAACAAGCTTGGCGTTAAAGATGCACGGAAAAGTAACTGATAATGTTGCTTATTGCATTGCAAGCTATGTCAGACGTCACAACACACTGTCCTCCATGACCATCGACGTTTGGGGGGATTTGGCCCCAGGAACACGTTCTTTTCTTCAGGGACTATCAAATACCGACCAAACTGTTGAGGTGAAAGTGCATGACGTCTGTGTCCTTCCTGAAGAGTCATGCAATGCCTTTAGTGTCTCTATTGACAGTATTGCATCACTCAAACCAGTGTTGTATAAAATCAAGAGTACCAGTGTGGAAAAGATCAATTTAAAAATCATTAACGACGATGGTGCAAGTAAAGAGTGGACACACCTTATAGGTGAGGCCTTGGCAGAAAACACGACAGTAACCGCGCTCGATGTTACGATCAACAACTACATGACAAACGTGACAGCAGACTTTGGGAAAGACCTCGGGGAGAGTTTGTTGCGATGCTCTTCAATGACAGTTTTAAATCTCGCAATCAACAACTACACTAAGATGGCAGAAGGTTGGGAATGCCGTCTGGTAAAAAGTTTGTCCAAACTGGCTTCATTGACTACACTCAGTCTTGCAATTGACGATCATGGCGAGGTGAGGACAGTTGTAGAAGAAAGTTTGGGTGACGGTTTGATGGCAATGAAGTCACTGTCTACACTTTCCGTTGTAATCAATGGTAGTAATTTGGAAAAATTCTGGAGTTACTTTTTGCGAAAGTGTTTAAAAGAAAACAATTCACTGTCTCTGCTCTGCGTTACAGTTAACAACTATGACGACGACCTAGAAGATCCAGATTATTCATTTGATGACTCATTTGAAGAGCCTTATTACTGGTACGATGGCCTAGCTGATGGGTTGGCAAGAACTACATCATTAAATGAACTAACTCTGACAATTAACAACATCACTCTTATTAGTAATTGTTGGGTAGAAAGTGTCTGTAAAGGATTTTTAGAAAACGAGTCAGTGACTACTCTTACTGTGACAGTCAGCGGTGATTCCTCTTTCCCAGACTGTGTGAGCTGGGTCCCCAAACTGAATAAAGGTTTGTCGAAAAACAATTCATTAACTACGCTCACTCTTACAGCAAACGCGTATTGGGAGGGTGAACGGCGGGAAGGCAAGGACTTTTTCTGGGCTGATAAAATGTATACTACGGTTAACGCATCATTAACAACGCTTAATCTGACGATCAACATCTGCACAGAAGTCAGTGAAGATTGGTTACCAGAACTCTGTGACTGTTTGGTGAATAGTTCCTCGTTAACAACGTTTAGATTGAATGTAAACAACCATTTCGCTACAAATGAAAGTCGCATATATGACTTTAGAAAACTTCGTTTGAAATACAGATCACTATCCACATTTGAACTCACTGTAACTTTCTATGGAGAGTAATTTAAGTCAAGTGCAAAAAGTTTCAAGAGTTTTTTGTGCAGCGAAAATAAGGTACACATTATACAGAGAAATGATCGCTCGGGAATACTGTTGATCAGAAAGGAAAGCTTACAAATATTCCAACATAAGATACTAGCAGCTTTGTAGTTTGGGAAATATTGTAAATGATGATTGTGACTTGTACGCCATCTGGTTCAGTGAAACCAAGGTTAATACAACATGAAATACTAGTAGTTTTAGAGTTTGATAAATAATTGTAACCGTTTGATTCGTACGTCATCCGGCCCAGTGAAGCTAGGCAGGGGTAATACAAGATTACTTGCCAGTTGTTTAATTTTAGAGTTTGATATGGTAAATCTCGTAATTGATAATTATTACTTCGACTCAAAACTCAGCGGGGCCAAGGCTGATAGAAATGATATCTCCGCATTTTTCTCATCAGAGAAAAATAGACTTTAGTGAAGTTTGTATCACTACGATAATAACAAATTTATAGAAAAAAGTGAAATTACGTTTCAAGTAGTATACGCTTTTGCTATAATTTAGTGTAGCTTAATCGACTGCATCTGATATGTGGGTGCAATGAACATTTGTCACAAGCAAGCAAAAGGGAAGAATGCTTACTATTTTTAACTTTAAGTGCAACAAGTTTTGTTATTTAGAACTGTTAGTCACATTTTTCAACTCAATTAAAGGAATTCGCAAAGTACAAATGCCAAGTTGTTTCTTGATAATATAGAGCATTTTTACTTGCCTGGGTGGTAATCACGTGGCCAGCAGCTTTAGAAATTTATTGAACAAAAGGAAGTTTTTGTATAAAAAAAGGTTCAACTCCCACAGGATTGGTTTGAGGCACCAACATGGCCGCCATTTCACTATTTAGGACTCCAATATGTCGGCCCTTGACGTCATGTGAAAACGTTTCATAGGATATATTTAAATTCTTGGCGCGACCTTGAAATGGCTTGCGGTCCTCGACTACAAGCTGGCATACTATCCTATTAGACTTACACTCCTGAAATTTCCTTGAAAATGTTGATACGCAAAAGTCGTTTTAACAGCCCAGTGATTAGTAACGATCGAGGGTAGTTGGGAAGTGGTAGGAGTTTGTTCACTTGTGTAATGCAAGACACGCTTTGTTCAAATATTCCACATCTTTTTCTTTATGAGGCACTTTTTTGTTGATCTTCCTCCTAATCTCGTACCCAGATCTCGCTCTGTCTTACGTCGTGGGAGATCTGGTTATGAGATTACCTCTCCCCTAGGTTGAGAAAACAGCCGACATTTGGCGACGCTACCACTGGTTTCCCCGCCAAATGACGACTGAGAAGTGAGCGCAGAAATTCCATACCGATGACCAGTCACTACCTTGATCTGGGTAGTCCTTCTGATTGGTCGTGCCGCGAGGGAAATTTGATTCAACCAATCAGAAGCACTACCCAGATCTGGGTAGTGACCCGTCGTCGATATGAAATTTCTGCGCTCGTTTCTTAGACGTCATTTGGCGGGGAAACCAGTGGTAGCGTTGCCGAATGTCGGCTGTTTGCTCATGCTACCTCTCCCCCTTGTCACTCTCTCTCTCAATGGTTTATCAATACCTTTTGTTTTAATTACAATGAGAGCAGCATTGTTTTTGTCTCAGACTATTAGTGTTATCAAACGTTCACAGTGGGAGCGTATCTTCTTCCATTCAAGATTACAACTGTTCCCTGAAGAATCCGGCGTTTATCGACAAAATTATGTGGTCGTCAGCGTTATAGTGAGTGACCCTCATCTTATTTTGCACCTACCCTCCCCACCCTCTAAGTATTTTAAAACTTTACCAACAGAGATTGCGTTTGTATGGTTAATTAGATTTTGCGTGTAGATTAAAACCGTAGAACTAAAGTTAAGCACGGTTTCATTAGTGACTCTATAGTATGAAGGATTTTATTCTGCTAACTCGCTTGAACGAGGTCAGATTTCTTAGGATTCTTTACCACTTTCCTTGTCCAAACGAGAAATTATTCCCTTCCAGAAACTATCAGGGTAAAGGGTACAAGCTTTAGGCGCAAGGATTTTTGGGATCGATTGGGTGGACAAGCGTTACCTATGATTGGTTAATGGTTTTCTTGGATAAAATCGACCAAAAGAAAACTATCTAACGTTCACCCAAAGGATCCCAGAAATTGTTGGACCAAGAACTTGTACCCATTCCCCTAACAGTTTCTGGGGTGGGGAATTACGGAGACAATAACTTAAAACCCACAACTTGTTTAGCACATATGGCACCTGATTGTTGGGTCGGAGGCCCGCGTTCAAACGAGGTCGGATCACTTAGCCGGGTTTTTTTTTAAAAAGGATGATATCCTACTGGATGTGCATGAAAAATCTTTGCTCGGGTGTTCGCGACATGAGCCCGCGATGCTGAGGCGTTGGCCTTGTACCTACCAACACCCCCCATTTTGAATCGCGGTGATAGACTGTAACTAGCTTACGATCGAGGCTCGTACATCTTGACAACTTTATTTCTCACACCAACCTTGCTACAATAAAAAACCTTGCTTACAACATAGCTTGTCACATTCTGTCATCAGTACTCACAAGGCTCAGTTTGTGACCCTCTACAGTTCACCACGTACAAACTTGCCAGATCGTTTGGTCTGTTACAGAAAAGTAAGAGCGGAATAAAGCATTCTATATACGTTGACCCGAAATCCTAACAGCTTCGCAGGTTTGTATTGTCCATTAGAAGACCTTTCGACTCTTTTTCAATGACCTCTTTGTCATCACCGTCGTATTTTATTTTAGCTCTGTCAAAAGTCTATTAATCCCCCGGGGAGGGGGTACTCCCTATAATGGCCTATATGGAGAGGTTCTATGGCTTCCGCCCGAAAGGAGTATTTCTTCAGGTATATTAATGGATAGGGATTTCTGTAAGAGAAGTACATTAAAGGGTAGGGAAAACAATCATAATTTTGGTCTTAAAAAAAACGAAAGGGATAAATAACAGATGCATTTTTGTGGCCCTAAAAGAGTCACAAATACCTCCTGCTTTAGGGATTTATTGATGATCTGTAAAAAATAGAGCATTTACGGCAGTTAGACGGGGTGTCATTTGTTAATAGAAGGTACACGAAAGGGTACCTTTTCTGTCAGAAATGGTATGTAAAAGGATAACATTACGTCCCGCAGCGAGAAGCTGTGTGTTCTTTTGGTGCTTGTTATTATCACATTTTATGCTTTTCGCCTTTTTTCCTATTCAATTGGAATGCACCCATTTCCCTTACATCTAAGCCCCATGTCCGCTCTTCCACCTTTACAAGTTCGATCAATTCTCACGTGACACGTCACATGTCAGCGTTAGACCAATTAAAAACATTCTTGCACGATAAACCGAGGCGGAAGTTCTTTCCCTGTACGCTGGTGGAATCTGCCCAATTTCGTGAAGAATTTGCAAACTTCTAGCTGTTTTTATAAGTCTGGCAATCATAGGGTGACTAAATCTTCTCACGAAGTGTTAAATTATGTAGCTGTGACGAAATCATAGTGAAGATGGCTTCCACGTGGCTGCATTTTCGTTGCTGAATTCCTGAAGTTTAGGTAAGCCTATGGAAGTTACAATCTAACTTTGTGGGAGAGTTGAAAAAACTGACCCCCACTCTGCGGACTACCCACTGACCCCACTCCGCGGACTACTCTACGGACTACTCCGCGGACTACTATGCGGACTACCCTAACTAATCAACCAAATTTACTTTCACGGAGAAAAGAGTTAGAAGAAGCGTACCTGCCTACAAGATCACACTTGATAAACAGCCGCCATCTTGATTTTCGCCATTTTACTCGACCCAGCACTTCTTCTTCATTGCTACGTCCATTGCAGCTTCCGTTCTTGGATCGTCACGCAACGCTTCTCTCCAAACCTCGCGTGACGATCCAAATAACGACTGCGTGCCCTACGTAGGAGAATACGTCTCCAAGGGCCTTGTGGGCCAGGTGAATCCAAAAATATGGTGACTTCCAAGCACGGCTATAAGTAAGTTCTTAAAAACATTTTTAAGCTGAATATAACAAAAACTGTTACCAGCGCCAATAGTGGTCATCGATTGGCTGAACGGCGTGCTCTGACTTGTGGCCGATGAAGACTGGGGCGAGGCTAAAGGAGAGCTGGGTCGAGTAAAATGGCGAAAATCAAGATGGCGGCTGTTTATCAAGTGTGATCTTGTAGGCAGGTACGCTTCTTCTAACTCTTTTCTCCGTGAAAGTAAATTTGGTTGATTAGTTAGGGTAGTCCGCATGGTAGTCCGCGGACTAGTCCGTAGAGTAGTCCGCGGAGTAGTCCGTAGAGTAGTCCGCGGAGTGGGGTCAGTGGGTAGTCCGCGGAGTGGGGGTCAGTTTTTTCAACTCTCCCCTAACTTTGTTGGTTTAAATTCACAAGGCCTCTCTTAACTTTTATGTTTGAGAAGAAAAAAAGCGCCTTATTAGTTTTGTAATAGGCCCTAGGGCATCTGCAAGCAATGATCTTTCTGCAGTCGAATAAACGCAGACAGATCGCGTGACTCTGAAGAACTGAAATTTATGCGTTTTGTAAATTTCAGCAGAAGTAGCCGTACGTACGTTTTCGGGCACCTAATTTATAACGGTCATTTTGATTTGGCCTTTCGAAATGGCCAGACATTTTAAAAAGAGATTTACAATCAAGTTTACGGCAGATGACAGACGTCAGACTCAGGTTGTGAGTTTATCATATTAAGGAGTGAGCAGGGGAATGAGCAGATAAAAACTTTGCAAAATAAAACACCTAGAGTTGGTCTCTGCCTTTCTTTTTCCTTTTTGTTGACTCCCAATAAGACGCACACCTTTTGAACTCGGACATAAAGTGCTGGTCCCAAAGTTGTCCGTCTTAGTGAGAGGAGAAAGAAAAATCACAAAAACAGCATGTTTCGTTTTATAGCAAGAAATTGTTTCTTAAGAGTGTGCACTCTCATTGTTACTTTGAGGGCAATGACATCTAACAA